AACAACGTCTTATGCTGCTCTGGAATTTAGACCGCTCTGCGGTGGTCTACTAGTTCACTCAAATACCCACCAGTAGAAAAAACTAAAGGAGCTGTTCGCGCCCGCGCCATTCAGCCTAGAAGTACCAATGAGGGTAGAAGAAAGAGCCAGCCAAAGTCTAGGTCCGGTAAGAATCTCACAGGGATCCTGCTGACGTTTTACTCGGGCCAAAAAGGGTTTCTGACCATCTAGATAGCGCGAGGAAGCTTTGAGAGGCTGGAAGTATCCCTGGTTTTGCTAACGAGATCGTCATACAAAATTTAGGAACTGCTTAGGTCCAGGAGTCTCATAAGCTCCGTATCTACTTTATAACGAAACCTCATAGGATTGACGTTTCACAAACAAGCAGGAGGTTAAAGAAACGTTCAACTACATCATAGTGAGAAAAGTTCGTAATATAGGTGGAAAGAAATAATATTAGGAAACAGATAAAATGTTTTGTATTTGAAACATAAATAAAAGATTTCAAGATATTTATTCATATTAGTGACAAGCTTAATGACTAATTTAGTAACATAAGCAGAGAAATCTGTGTATAAAGAATTTTGATTGTAACAGGACGAAATTGTAGATTTAGATTCGTTATAATGATAATCGTATGAAAGTATTTACGTAAGTGAGAAGGCTTCTGAAAATAACAAATGCACAATCTTCTGGCATATACATATTGTATCCATTGATATTCTTCAACAACTGTTGTGCATTTTTAAGGATTTGCACTGTTAGCGTCCTGATTTTGGTTTCCAATACTAATTCGGAATAGTAATACCGTATCGTAAACCGACACATGTGCCACGCTAATTAACAGTTTGCCGGCCGTGTACCGCCCTCGGATCTATTACCTCCAGACTTTCTGGCGGAAATCTGTGCCCGAGGTACCTTGCTGCAGTGGAATTATTCGTAGCAGACGTTCACGTAACGAGTCACTTCTTGCAGATTTTAGCTCCGCGTACGAAACGGCGGGGAGCGACTGATACTCTAAAAAGAGGGTGTCCTCTAGAGCAATGATGGGTGAGTTGCGGCCCGCTTAGAGGTTCTATCTGATCCGACGCAGATTTTAAAAGAATATTCTATATCCTATATCCTATATCCTATATCCTATATCCTATATCCTATGTTCTATGTTCTATATTCCATATTCCATATTCCATATTCCATATTCCATATTCCATATTCCATATTCCATATTCCATATTCCATATTCCATATTCCATATTCCATAT